GATTGGTGGGAAAATCGCGAGTTTATGCTATTTCTCAAGGAGGGGGCTGTGCCTCTGGTGGTGAGGGTGGTGGGGGTAGTAGTAACGCTCGTGGGAGTGGGATTGTTACTGGTGGTGGAGGTGGCAGTAGTGCTCGTAGTAGCAGGGCTGTTGCGCGTGGAAGGGGTCGAGGTCGTGCGGCTCGAGGAAGAGGGGCTGCTGGTGTTGGTAGGGGAAGGGGTTCCGGGGGCAGGGGTCCGGCAGCACCTCCGTTGCCTCAAATTCCGTTGCAAGAGTATGATGAAGAACAGACGCAAGCGGCAATTGAATTTGGGAAAAAATGATGTGACAAGACGGCTAGTGATTGGGCAGATATACAGGAGGAAGACGACACGGCGCGATTATCAATGACGGCAATTGAAGGGCACGGTGATCCAAAGAGAATGAAGGAGGGAGATATTCCGGAAGGGGTAGATGTCGACTTGGAGGAGTTGAAGCGGTTGGTTTCCCAGGGTACTTTGTTGGTGTTGCCGAATTCGAAACATTTGTTGGTGAGGAAAGAATTAAAAGCCTTTGCGGAAAATCTAAATAGAAATCCAGGGCAATTTGAGAGATTGGTGGGTGAAGAGCCAGTTCGGACGTATGTGCCTAGGATGTTGAGACCGTGGGTCATGGATTGTGCCCACAAGGAAGCGGTGCATTTGGGAGAGAAAGTGACTTTAGGTATTTTACAGAGGATTAACTGGTGGATAGGAATGGCTGAAAGCGTGCGGTGGTGGATCCGTAGGTGTTATTCTTGTCAGTATCGGAAGGTGCCGCGGCATACGAAGTGTTGGCCGTTAGTGTCGTTGCCTCTTCCGAGCAGACCGGGGCAGATGGTGTCGTTTGATTATTTGGGGCCGTTGCCGAAAACGACGAAAGACAACGAGGACGTGTTTCTGGTGGTAGATTTATTCAGCAGGCATGCCGAGGGGTACCCACTAACGAAGGCGCAGAAAAATGAGAAGGGTTCTGTGTCTATCATGGTGAGCGACTATATCGCGAGGTGGGGTTGTCCGCACACCATGTTGTCAGGTAGGGGAGCAGAGTTTGCGAATGAGGTAGCGAAAGGGGTGCATGAGATGCTGGGAACTGTGAAGAAGTTTACTAGCTCATATCATCCGCAGACGAATGGGATAGTGGAACGTTTAAATCACACGCTGTGTCAAATGTTGTCGCACTTGGTTGCGGACGATCAGGCGAATTGGGATGAGATGTTACCGCACGCGATAGCGGCACACAACAATAACGTGAGCCGAGGGACGGGGCTAGCACCCAACGTAGTACACATCGGGAGGTACCCGAGGTTGCCGATGACGATCTTGGAGGGAAGGGGTGTTTCGGGAAATCAGGGCCTAAAGCAAGACCAATTGGATTATTTGAACTTGATGAGGGAAAAGCAAAGGAAGGCGTACGAGCTGGTAAGAGAGCAGGATAAGATAACCAAGGGTAAGCATGAGAAGAGCAATCAGGTGTTAAACTCGATAATAGGCAAGCGGCCGAAGTACAACGAGGGGGACTGGGTCTTGGTGTATGATGAGAATAATAGTACAATTTCTGGTGGGGGGGAACATGTGCTTAAATCGCGAGTGAATAGTAGGGGGAAAGAAAAATCGTTCGCGTTGATCCCGAAGTTGGCACATAATTGGACCGGGCCGTATAAGGTGTTGATCGTGGGTCCAGGGGATGGTCTTGACGGAGAAAAGGTGGGCCCGAATATTTTGTTTTTGAACGTGAATAAGGATGAGACCGGAAAGAACACTAACGAGAGGGTGTCGGTATATCGGTGTAAGAAGTGCTATACTCAGCACGACAACGAGGATAGACCTAGGTTCTTGCCGTGGGGCTTTAGCAAGTATGTGTTGAATTTTCAGAGTTAGCGCCTCCGTTCCACCTTAGGGCAGAGGACGTGGAGGAAGAATTGGATAGTAAAGAATTGGTCCCGTGTAAAATATCNAACGTGAATAAGGATGAGACCGGAAAGAACACTAACGAGAGGGTGTCGGTATATCGGTGTAAGAAGTGCTATACTCAGCACGACAACGAGGATAGACCTAGGTTCTTGCCGTGGGGCTTTAGCAAGTATGTGTTGAATTTTCAGAGTTAGCGCCTCCGTTCCACCTTACGGCAGAGGACGTGGAGGAAGAATTGGATAGTAAAGAATTGGTCCCGTGTAAAATATCAAGGCACAGGATTTGTCGAGGTATTAGTGGGAAGGGGGCGGTTCAGTACTACACGCATTGGACGGGGTTGGCTAAGTGTACGTGGGAGCATGAAGTAGAGCTAGAGCAATATGGGGACGTGATACTTAAATATCAGCCGGAACAATCGGCCGGAGGGAACATTAGGTATCGGAGGTACCGTATTCAGGGTGCAAAACGGATGATTGCTAGCAGGAAGGGAGAAAGACACGTGCAGGAAGATTACAAACTTTGTTGTGACATACGGGGTAGACCGAGTCTTCGAAGTGAGGCGATGATTGGTGCCTATTTATATTTTAAGACTGTGAGGGCGGGGTGGCAGTTTGCGAAGGTGATGCAGGTGACTCCGGATCCGAGGTGGGAAGAAGGCATCAAGCATACTATCAAGCTGGTGGACATCGGCAAAAACATCAATGTGGCGCTTCTGAACAAGAATCTGACGACGGACAACCTGGTACAAGATCCAGGAACGTGGTGCTGGCATGCACACCGAACGGCGAAAAGTGTCAAGAAGTACATGTTTGAGTTAGAAGATGACTAGGTGTTTGAATTTGAAGTGCGTAGGACTGCGGAAAAGTGTGCCAAGTGGTGCAGTAGTGTTTTTGAAGTGCGTAGGACTGCGGAAAAGTGTGCCAAGTGGTGCAGTCAAATACGGGTCAAACAAATTTATGTTGTGCTGAGCGATTCCTGTTTTGGCTGAAGAATGTACCTGGTGATGGAGTCATATTGAATTGGTGCCACGGCCTTGGCGGAATTGGAGAGTGTGTATTGCATCAGTTGAATTCTGGTGATGAATGTTCGGACTTGCTGCAAGAAAATGACATTGATTGTAGGTCAGGTATTGCACGTTACGGTCAAGTGTTAATTCAAACGAGACTGATCGCAGATACGTAAGTATGCGTTGAACCTGGGGGGGGCGAATGTCGTGCAATAAGTCAACCCTAGGTTAGGTCAGGGTAAGAAGACTTGGGGTAGTTGAATCGCAGTATATATGTTGAGGCGTGATGGAATGGAAGGTCAAGAAAAGAGTATGAGGTGGAGACTAGAATTGAGAAGATTGGTTTATGGTTGGAATGATGAGCTTATGAGGGAATTGCAGTTAGTTGAGGGAGAGAGAGAGAGAGTTGGAAGTTGGAGAGAAAGTGAAGCGGCGCATCTAGGATAGATGCGGAAGTGGCGCAATTAGCTTGTGTCAGCTGTCAGCTGATGTCGCGTGCCCCCCTGGTTCAGTGTTCAATTTCCCTGCTGTTCCCAGCCCACGAAGGCCTAAGAAACACACTTTGATCGCAAGCAACATCGAGACGCGCAAACCCACGACCCCACTGGCACATCTACATACATATCTACGCACGATAGGCCATCGCCGGCCGATTCCACGTCAAGCGAAAGATCAAATTCCTAAAGATCCAGCGGTCTTCGGCGCTCGGGTGGATAAAAAAGATCGAAATCGAATCGAATTCCGATGTTCGCAAACTCCAAACTCCAGATTACCTGTCGTTGATTTCTATTGACTTGCGGACCCCTCGCCCTCGGGGCCAGTATATTTGAGTGTGCCTTTTAAGGGTAAGTTAACCTGCGACCACGGGAATCGACCGCGTCGAGTGTTGGATCAGTACGGACATACGAAGGTACTGGTTAGAGAGAGATCGGAACGGTTCCTAATGTGAAGACAACAACAACAACAAACTCCGTACTTGCCCCTTCTCCCGATGGCAAGATACCCTAAGGAATCGTATCTTCCTACACTTTGTATGTGCACAAATGGTTGGTTATATATTTCGACGGGTGCCCTCCACAGCAGTAAAGTCGATATATTGGTCGTCCTCGTAGACACAAGCAACGGAAGAGAGTGGGCACCAAGGGTGCATCATTAGCACCGAGGCACACGAGCAACAGTCGCAACACACATTCGGAACTCAGAACACATGACAGCACAAAACGCGTGACAACCTGCCAAAGATACAACCACCGGAGATACCCCGAAGATCGAAGTGACCGATAGGCGGCCACCTACTTGCGAACTTACATAGCTCAAAACAACACATGAGTACTGCCGCAGTAGCCTTCGAAAGGGTGTCATAATCCACCTCACGAACAGAGTGTACCTTTTCAGGGTAAGTTAGCCTGCGACCACGGGAAATCGACCGCGTCGAGTGTTGGATCAGTACGGACATACGAAGGCACTGCTGTGTAGAGAGAGATCGGAACGGTTTTTAATGTGAAGACAACAACAACAACAACAACAACAACAACAACAACAATGGCAAAGGTGCACTACCCACGAATCACGGCGCGGCAAGGATGATGCGGCAACGAGGAGGCGTCCATGTGTAGTTGCCATCTTTCTGCAGACAAAATTGTATTCATCGATAAACGTGGTATGTCTCTCGTGGTTGCTCTTCTGTGCAGATTTCGATGGTCTACGACGTAGGGAGGGAGGTACATATGTGTTTGTGTCGAGGGATGCCAAAAATGTGTTCCCGATGCGATGACGCCAGCAGTAGTATGCGTACCACACAATGTTTTTCACTTTCCTTACGTTTCGTGCCAGACGCCCGTGCAGCGTAGTGGCAGCAGGCGGCAGGGAAGCAGCATCAAGGAGCGAGGGGGCATCTTGCGGCGGGATCTATCCGCGTACCACACGTGAGAATCTGATTCTGACGTTGAGGTTGGTATGTTCCGACAAAAAAATATGATGCGTAACCAAATGTTAAAAATCCAGTCTTTCACCCCGGCCGCGCGCCTTCGCTTTCCCCCCCTCCTCTTCGCACTCTCTCTCTCACATCCCCAGCTAGAGACATCGATCGCTTCCTCAGGCTAACCCCTCGTCCCTTTTTGCGACATCAACAACGGCAATCATGGCACAGACTCAGGTATATCTGCTTTGTGAGGATCTGTTGTGCGTGCTTGCTGCCGCAGGGCTTCGGCTGTGGTTGTCGTACAGATGGGTTGTTTCCTTCGATGCGCTGAGCCGAAAATCGCGGGAAGGGTCGAGGGTGAAATCAGACGTAAAACAGATATTTTTCGTGCGGGTGCTCTCCCCCGTCCTCGCGCCCTCCGACTCCAACGCATGAAAAGGCGATGTAAAGCTGGCCGGCGCTGTGCTCTGGTGGTGTCCGAGGGGAGTTGTTGACGTTCATGTCGCGCCCTATTGTGTCTCTTCCCGCCATATCTCACCATCTTCATCTCATACGCGCATACACCAATCCGCTTTGAACTTGACCCGACGCTCCTCGTTCTCCAATGCTGCCCTTTGCCTCTGTACCCCTCCTAGATGAAACAGCGTGAATGGGAGCTCGGCCTGACCTCCGAGGCCCAGATCCGCCAGGAGAACGGCACGACGGAGCCCTTCGTTGGATATAGGCTCTTCCGCAGGTGCCACGGAGGCTGGGATGAAATCTATGAAAATCTACGCCTGTCTTGGTCAGTCGCTAAAAGTTTCCCCTGCAGCCGGCTGAACCTGGCGCCATACGCCGTTGTATGGCATGGTCCTGGTGTTTCCTGCCCCGATGCTTACCTCCCTCCACTCCCTTTCTAACGTGCGTCCCTGCAGTTTGTGTGGAGAGTTCCTGGGCTGCATGCTCTTCTTGTTCATGGGTGAGTGAAAGTAGTCATCGATGGCACAACCACGAACCGTGTGCGTGTGTAGCAGCAGCTGCATTCCATCCAGGAATTTTTTTTTTGCATGGATGCGATCATCAGATACAATTTCTATCAATCCTCGCATGCCGCTGTTCGTGGCACACGCCGCTGTCAGTGAGCGTAGCTTTGCCTCTCTCAGCGTTGGCAAGCGGAGGCGAACGTTTGGCCGTGGAAAGGGGTTGTCGCAGAACACACTTCTGTTGGATTTGGGTGAATGAAGTTTCGGCACCGCGGCTGCTGCAAGCAACCCCGTTGGAGATAAGGCCCTCATTTGGAGATTTTGTTCTTCACACTGGGCAGGGATCTTGTATCTCGAAACGCGTGGAGTGGTGTACACTCGTGTGCATCTGTATCGCGTGTCCAAAAGGCGGCGAACGCTCAACCGTATCGTACCACATGTAGGACGGGCCACGTAGCACACCCCTCAACGAGCGCGGAAACGAATGTGGTCGGGGTTCCACATCTTTTCTCATCACCACGTCGTCAGGCTGCATGGTCCGCTGACGTGGGTCGTAAGTAATGTCGCCATCGCCCACCATCAGTGCGTGTGTTACCCAGAAAACAGACTTGATGGATGCCATCGTAGCCCGAAAGACCTTCCCAACGAGATCATTCATAGAGACAGAGAGATCGGCGCGAGCATAGACTACATGTTTCACGCGGGTCTCTCTTCTGCTGTCTGTTTGTGTCTCTCGACCGAAAAAACAAAGCGGACCGGCGCAACATGTTGTTATTCGTTGTTTTTATGTTTTTTCGTGGATGGGAAGGGAGACCACACAACGCGCTGTGGGATCCTGCTCTTCGGCCCTGGCGTTGCTGTTGTTCAATCCGTCACAGAATGCTCATCCCAAAAGACTTATAAGGAGCGCATGCAGCGTGCAGGCGGCGATTGTTGCCCCCACGGGCACTACTCGCAGCTTGGTTGGATGCGACAGCAGTTCAAAGCCCCAAAAGCGTCGAAAAATTACCCCGATGAGAGGCTTGAGGAGACTGGCTTCTTGACAGATATATTGATTGTTGTTGTTGTTGTTGTTGTTGTTGTTGTTGTTGTCTACATATTGATATTCAATCCCGTTCCGATCACTCTCTACCCAGTACCTTCGTATGTCCGCACTGATCCAACACTCGACGCGGTCGATCCCCGTGGTCGCAGGCTAATAACTTACCCTGAAAAGGTACACTCAAATACACTGGCCCCGAGGGGTCTGAAAGTCAATAGAAGTCAACGACAGATATTCTGGAGTCCTCCACTCCCTCTGCGCGCTATGCGAGGTACAACACCTCAGACTAGGAATCACCATCACGGGTAGGAGAGAAAGAGGTACCCCCCCTTCGTGCAATCTTGGTACTTCACAACGCAAGCAGAGACAAGGCCAGCTGGCACAGAAAAAGAGAGAAGAAAGAAAACAGAGAAAAAGAGAAGAAAATAAAAGGATCCGTAACTAAATAACGAGAAAAATGAAATGAAAAAGAGCGAGGACAAAAAGGGACCAGGCCGAAAATATTTCAAGTCACAGAAAAAGGCACACGTCGGAGAGATTATGGATGAGGGCGGAAAGATATATGTCGAGATAGTTTTCTGGAAAAGATACATCATTCACCGAACTATATACTGTCTTGTATTGAGTACACAATACGGTACGCTGTAGTCGACATTCATTTTGGTTACATGCGGGACAAGGGGGGTGATGCTGCTGCTGTGTAGTCGATTTGTAGTGTGTGGGCGTGTAGTTCAGTTGTGAGCATGCAAACGTGCTGCAGGGACTGCAGGTGTATCTCCTCGGGCTTGCGTACCCTTTTCTTGCTAATAGTGTATGTGTTCTCTATCTAGATCATCTGATGATGGCTCTTCTAGCATTTTTGTCACCACGGACCGAGTCTTTGCTAGATTTGGGACTAGCAACTGACACGAGTTTAATGCGAAGAAGAAGAACAACAACAACAACAACAATTGAGTTCTGTCGGGCTAAGGCTGCGTACCGCACAGACTGCAGGAGGTATGGAAATTCCGAGTTTCCTACCTATCTCCTTGATTATTTTCTGCATTGTTCTCTTCCGAGTTACAAATAGACTCCCCGTTCGAGATAGCTAGCCATTTCTTCTGCCTACAAGAAGATAATCTTTTGCACAGGCGCTTGTTGTTTTGTATCGCTGGTCGGTGGTCGGCCATGTTTGCGTGTTTGCTTGTCGTTAGTGTGGTCTCTTCACGGGAATCGACCGCGTCGAGTGTTGTCTACGGGGCTACACTCCGTGGTATAACGAGATGAGGAGAGTGTGTGTATGTGTGTTTTCGTCCTATTTATTGGACTAGTCTAGGCGACGGTCCCCCCATTTTTCGTGGTGAGATGTGCTATACACTTTTCAGCGTATGTAGAGTACTGCACTTTTCAGTGTATTTTCGTACAACTACAACCATCCAGGGTCACACAGGAGGGGGTAAACACCAGGGCTTTTTTTTCTTTTTACCTGGTATTTCTTTTCATGCCCCACCTTCCTCCTGCAGTGCGTGCTGAATTTTATTTTTGTCGCGAGAAGGGTCCAGCCTTCCCTTTCTCTCGTCAACGGTGCTAACGTCGAAGTTTGTTTGGTACTCACGAGAGCTCTTTAGCTTTATTTCGCTTTCACCTGCAAAATTCGTAATTTTTTCTCCCCATGGGGATTCGAACTCATGACCTCTGCGACTAGCGGATTGCTGGGATACCACTAGACCACCGGGGCGACCGGGAGTTGAGTAAAATGGTTGATTGAGTGAATAGTCCAGCCTATGCTTTCGCTCTTTATGTACATGTTCACGTTCTGAAACGGTGGTTGATTTCCATGGTCCACCCCGCCCTGAACACCGCCGCCCCCGGCTCGCGCCTTCCCCGACCACTTGGAACCACCTACAGTGATCACCGTTGCCAGGTTTTCGGACGATCGAATCCAAGAAGGCATCACGACAGAGGCGACGGCCAACATCATCATGATCTCTTCCGCCTTCGGCCTGTCCATCTTCGTCCTCGTGTAAGCGTCGCGATGTCTTGTAAATAAATGTTGGTCTCACTTGTGACAAAACCATACATCTTCTTCACGGATAAAAGCCCGGTTTAGACTGGCATTGAATTCATAGCGTCAGCTGAAACTTCCTGTGCTTGTACGAGCAGCATGCGGCGATATCTCCCTGTGTGGGTGACTTGTTCTTCTTCCACCCGTTGTCCGTGCAAAATAATAACGCGACCCTGGCACCTACATACGATCGTGTGTAGGTTATCGAATGGTGGGTCCTTTCGACAAGAAGCTCTCAACCAAAAAATTGTTAACTCGCCTCTGTTTGGTCATATCTGGTTGTCGGCCCCAGCCGGCAAGGTCTCACTTCAAGTACGAAAGAAGCCCTCTGTTCCAGTGAGCTTGCTTCTTCCCTGCGGTGGGGTCGAAACGTAACCTGAACAATTCAATAACACTCGTCTTGACGAATTGTTTCTCCCCTCTTGTTATATTGTCGCCTGTATCGACGTTGCAGTTACATCTTCGTGGACGTTTCAGGCGCTCACCTCAATCCCGCCGTTTCCATCGGTCTTCTCGTCGGCAAGCGGATCAGCGTCGAGCGCTTCCTCCTCTACGTTATTGCTCAGGTGAGTTGTCACCTTGCTCGTGGGAATTTGCGTAGTGTTAGCTTGAGAATCGAGTTGCAACTTAGGCATTCCCCCAGTCCCAGCTCTCCCTTTGAAAACCAAGAACTTCGGAACCCCAAGAACGTTGTAAAACCGTTCGTGAACCAGTTTTGCGCTCTACAAGTAGATATCGTGTTGTTGGGGTGTTGACTCTTCGTCCACGTCGTCTGCTCGTGGCAGATGGATGGGCTTCGCTATCGAAAGCCCCTCCTTGCGTCCCTACACTGCTCCACCTTGCCCCGAAGGCTGTATGCACAGTCGCCTCGCCATCCATTGCTCAGAAGATTTAACCCGTTCACAATAATCAAGGGGGAATATATCCCAAGAGTAACCCGTACCCCTATGCCGTACTCTCTTTTGCTTCGTCCATCGTTGTGACGCACCCCTACCCTCCTCTGCGATTCGTTCTTCGCCCCCTCCTCTCCCCCGCCGTACCAGATGGCAGGGGCTACTGCCGGAGCAGGAATCGCCTCCACTTACCTCAGCACCACCCGCGGCGGTTTCAATGCGCTCGCCGACAACGTCTCGGTGCGTGCAGGCGGCAAATTGGTAGATGCAAGCTGCTGCGTGTTTTTTCCCTTCCTTTTTTTTAGTTGGCTTGACGGTTGTTGCTGTCCGTTCGTTGGGTGGGCTCTAGTTGAGTTGGCTTGATGGTTGTGGTTCGTTGGTTGAGCAATTTCTTGTGGAATTGGCTTGGCGGTTATTAGGATCCATTAAGTGGGTTGTCGGAGCGAGGGAGACGTGACTGCATTTGAAAGTGGCGTTACGTGTGTCCGAGAGTGACGTGGCTTCGCTCCTGTCGTGTGGATGGCCCTTTTGACAGACACGGTGGCCAGCAATCCTCTCCCAGCCAACAGTAGTCACGTCCGACCACCACAACATCCGCGCACCTACTGCTTGTTTTAAAATCTTCCAAGCCCCCGTATCCTCACCTCCCACTACCGACATACCCCACTCACCTCCTCCGCTTGCATTGTCGCAGGCTACCGATGCCTTCGGAGCTGAAGTCCTGTGTACCTTCCTGCTGGTGGTGACTGTATTCGCTGCCTGCGACGGGGAGCTCGGTCGCAAGACCGCCCACACTGGTCCCCTCCTTCCGCTCGTGATCGGGATGGCCGTTCTCCTCGGTAGGAGAGGAGGCCATGTTTGTCGCGCTTATTCTTTCGTGTCTTGGGTTGGGTTTAGAACGTCTTGCGGCGCAAATCACGGGCCTGAGGCGTTTGTGGTCAAATGGGTTGCGGTTGTCGCTTCCGGGAGGAATGATTAGGGCCTCGTGCATGCGTTCTTTGGTGTCCTAGTACCACAGGGATGCGCTACGGAACTTGGGTGTAGTGCGCCTGGCTGGGAGCGGTTGATCTCCGGACGAGTGACCTCGCCCACCATTGGTTGTTTGTGCTGAAAGACACCCTGCCCACCGCTTCGCTTGCGCGGTTCGCTGCTCGCTCACCCTCCCACAGCGCACCTGGTGTTGATCCCCATCGACGGCGCCTCCATCAACCCTGCCCGCTCTTTCGCTACGGCCGTAACGAACAACGAATGGGGCGACCACTGGTGCGTGTGCTCTCTTGATGTTGATGCGTGCGTTGTTGTCTGCTTGAGTTGGGTGGCGTTCCCTGTTGCTCTCGTTCTAAGGGATAATAGAGTGCTCCCAACTGCACTCTGGCGGGGGACCCAAGCACATTCTGTCGTGTGGCTGTAGCCGTCTCATGGACATGAAACTTTGACGTGTTAAACACGTTGGCCGGTGCGGGGAGCATGCTGAGACGGCACTTTGAGCACGTTGCGTTTATTTCGAAATATCAACTACCCAGTATTTTCTGAGTCTCGAAAACCACCCAAGGCTCAAACTTGCGCCAGCCAGGCTTGTCCTCCGACCGCCCCCCCCCAAAGTGCATGTTTACCTCTTTCATCTCAACATTGTGTTTCTCCTCCCGAAAAACGCATCTTCCCGTTTCAGGGTATTCTGGGTCGGTCCCCTCCTCGGCGGTGTCCTTGCGACTGTCACTTGGGAGGCTATCCTTCGCCCCGACCAGGTGGTTGAACAGGAAAAGAACGTCCCCCAGGCCATCTCGGTCTAATGGGAAGCCTTCATGAGGACATGAGCGCCACTAGAGGATGGGGGTAGCCGGGGTGGCGACTCTTTGTCTCCGTGCACCAGTGTGGCAAGCTGAGGGCGGGGTTGACCCGCAGAGTTGGGAAAGATTAAATTGCGGTGGAGGAGAAGAAGGACGGCCGTTTTCGTCCCGAACATGGCATTTGCTTTTGCCAGTATTTGTTGTTTGTTTCTTGTTCTTGGACTGTTCGTTGATATTTTATCTACTTTTTGCCGCCTCTTGGACATATCCTTGTTGATTGCCCAGGAAGGTTTTGTTGCTTCCTCATTCCTTGTTCCTCTCGAGAGAGAAGGAAGGTTTCAGTGAGTTCTGCCTCCCCAAGAACATGTAGGTACAAACGTTTGAAGGAGTAACAGGTCGGATGACGTGGGTTATTAATTTGAACGGTTCACGATTGCGTGCGTATTCCAACCGTTCGTGGTGAAGTGGGTGCGATGTTGCCCCCTGAAAACGGACTCGGGGGGTGCAAAGTAGGAGCGTGGTAACGGATGCATCCAAACTTTACTCTGTTACGCAGCGGGGAGGGAAAAGAAAAACTGGTACATTAGAGTGCGTAATGCGTTGGCCGTAGTTGGCAACATTGGCGTTGTAAAGCAAGGAAGGAAAGGGCCACAAGCCGCCGCGCATATGTATGTCGGTTGTGGTCAGATGGCTTCTGATTTTTCTTCTAAATGCTCTGAACAAATAGATTCGCGGTGTTGCTCACGGCCTGCACGTTCATCGTTTAAACGGAACGATGGGTTCCGATGGGGGTTTCAATTTGCGGCCCGAGCCGTGAAACAGTCGAAACGTGGAAAGCAGTTGTAGGGCCATATTCGCAGGGCTGCGGGTCCACACCGTTCAGTTTCTTTGTCCGATTTGGAAGAGTTTAGTCTTGTTGTTGGGTCTTCCTAATGAATGGTTGGCGGGGAGTGAACTGGTAGTGGCTGTGTTGTTGTTCGCGTCGATAGGGTTTGCATGCATGCGGGGTTTGTGTGTCTCACTCTTTCTTGGGCGGATGTGTGCAAGAGCATCAGTGGCGTGGACCGAAGGATCACTGAGGAACAGTGCGAAGCAATCAAAATTTGACGTTTTCGTCGCTTTTGAAGCATATAAAGAGACCCACGGAAACTGCCGAGCTGATGGGACCAGACAGATCGGGGGCAAGAGTTCTCACCGAAAGTTGCTTTCTAGTTGGCTCCTCTGGAAACAAACCACAGGGACTATCTAACCACTCGGACTATCTATGTACGTACGTACATCATTAGAGCATCGTCTGTACGTACATCGTCAGAGCGTCGTCTGTCACCCAAGGCCGTGAACGACACACTAGTACTGATATCGAGTGACAATGTTGGGACATCAATGCAACGTGGGCAATTCATCACATCATGCACGTGATGTCAGAGGGGGTTTTCTGTTGTTGAATACAGAACGGGCCCGGGGATAAGGAATGTCAAAATCGGGTCGAGCCTCAAGATCTTATTTTTGGGGGGCAGAGGGACCAGTCGACGTCGGCCCAATTTCTTAAAACGGATTTCTTATTTTTTGGGTTGTCGCATCCTGCCGATCTCTTGTTTTCTTGTTTTCTTATTTCTGGCGAATAAAGCAATGCACCAGAGCAGCAGCAGTGGCTGGTGGGAATAGCGCAGCGCGCGGGGGCGCGGGGGCCGCCGCGAAAATCCCCCCCCCCCCCCCC